ACACAGCAATAAGAGAGAATATCCAGTCAGCCACTGAGGAACAGAAGAGCTGTAATAAATATTATTAAAGGTGGGTATGGATGAAAGTTAGCCTATTCCTGTAGGAAAGCTATCAAATTAAATTTAGAAAAATGTTGATACATACAGAACATAAATCATGTGCTGTTCTGCAAGTGAACAGTAAATGAAAAACAGAAGGTGTGTGTCATCCATATCTTATAATATGGGAGTTAATTTCATTCTCTCAGGCATGTAGAAGAGGGTTTGATATGTGTATATAAATATTACTCCATTGGCCATGGATTAATTTAAAACCAAACATTTGAAATGCACAGCTCAAAGCTTTTCTGTAAGTTGTGACGGTCCTGATCTGCCTTCTACCAAGTCCCATTGAGTTAGACTGAATTCTATAACGGCGTGCTTGGTGTTATCTCCTGTGGTGTTGCCTTGTGATCCCTCCTCTGGCTCCAAAGCCCTAATGGAACGGTAGTAGAGAAACTTAATTTGATATTAATACACGGGTGCTGCTGCCTGCCGTATTTTCACTACTTCCCCAAAACCCAGGCAGGTACTCTGGATCTAGAGCAGCACTCCTCAGGTGCCTCAGCTGCAAACATCTCTCTAAAGTGTTTCTTTAAAGATTTGCAAATGAATACAAATTTCCCTCTAATTTTTCCAAATTCTGAATTTTATATATCCCCCAAGAACTATGACATTTCTCCAGAAAAGTGGAATCTTGGTTTCCCATTAGGTATTACCATTTTTTATAACTTATGTTAACTAGCATTACAGAAGATTGGGTATAAAAGTGTCAATAGTAAATATTTTATGAGAAGCAAAATATGGGGCTGAATAAAATATGATTGCATTTGTTTAACTGATACGTAGTGTTTCTTTATTTTGTCATCCGAGTATTATTGTAGAGCAAAGTTAGATTAGGTAGAATTAGGAATGGAAAACCTCCCTTAGAGCTAGTTTTGTCTAGAGAAGAAATTAATTCTGGAGAGGGATGCAGATACCTCTGCCCACAAGGAAGCATGCAGGCCTTTATCAAGCCATAGGGCATCCAAGTAAATGAATCAGACCTCCGGCGTACCCATGGAAATGTCTGCTTTTTCTAGTAAGGCAAGCAAGGAGCTGATTAAGGGGCAAAGCCTGCTGATGAGTGAGTTCTAAAGAAACACAAAGAATGGGGTATTTTGCATGAGTCGGGAGTATGAGTACATACATGCAGCCGAAGTAAACACTTCTGGGGAACTAAAATGCCCTGAAAGGACTGCTGTAGCCCCAGCCTCTCTTCCTCTCTCCTTTCTTATATGGAAGAGGAGGAGAATAGTGTTTTCTTTGGAGAGTGAGGAGGGTGGGGCCACAGAAGAGAGTGACCCCTCGGGGGAGCAGGATGGGAAGGGGAGCTGCTTGCTGGCACGTCGGGGACCCTGAGAAAAGGGTGAGAGGACAGAGGTGCAAGCAGGCTGCTGGCTCTGCAGTTTTACACGCGATGCAGGATCACAGCAGAGCACCAGGCTCAGCAGCGGGGCCTCAGCCGTCCTGTCCCCTGTGAGGCCCGGCCCCTGCCCAGCCCAGGGAGCAGAGCGGGCAGCAACCACCACCGGGGCTCTTCCCTACTGTGCCCCCAAGGTCCCAGCTGCTCACCCCGCTCTCTGGCCCAGGCCCCCACCCAAGCAGCAGGCACTGTGTCACACACCGTAGAGCCCGATAAAGCCAGTATAATGGAATGGGCTAATTAAAAAGGCAGCATCAAAATGCCAGTCTGTGGTTGCTTGGAAATGTAATCCAACTTTGGTATTATTTTCGAGCTGAGATTTTTTGAATCCAGAATTCCATGTGACGGAAGAGATGGGTATTTAAACAGATGTCTGCAATTTCTTTAAAAAATAGAGATTGAGTTACAGATGGTAGAAAGGGTCTGGGAATTAAAAACTCCTGAGCTACAAGAAAATTTACATGTGAGCAAAATGATTTGCTAAAATGAATGGTCTTGCAATTCTATGTGTTTGAAAATTAAGCTTCTTTCACCCAAAATGTGAGTATCTTTTCCCCTTCTGTATTATCTTCCTCTCTACTAGTAGCTTTGGCTGCCACCGTCACCATCATAGCCAATTCGCAATATGAGGCTCCTGTTTCTAACAGACAAGGCACATCATTTTTTCCTTCTCATCTTTCTTGCACAATCTGACCTGCTAGGACCAAAAATTTTTATCTGAATTAGCTTAAGAAGAAAAATAATCTATCCCATCTGCAGAACTGGTGCCTAATTGCTCTAGCTTGCATTTTATAAATCACAAATAAACGGAATTGTGTTATATGAGACCGGAAGGAAACCAGAATCATCATCTGTACTCGCAAATGAGTTGGGATTTTTTTTTTCTTCGTCTTTTGTGGATTTAAAAAGAAAATGACCAAAATAAACTTTGAGTGAAAAGCTAACAACTTGTGACATAGGAAATGCAAAATGCTGTGTATTGGAGGGGCAAACTTAACATATTTTATATAGATCTAAGGAGCAATACAGGATCCATCTCAGCTGGGGGACCCATGCATTACTGAGAACAGCTTTATGAATATCACCACTTATGCAAATGTACTCAAAAAAAGAGATACTAGGATGTATATGAAACAATAACAGACTCATCTGCAAGATACAAGACTGTTTTTACATGCAGTGCTCCTCAGCACAGTGCCATTCTGTGCATTGCAAAAACAATTCAAATTAGCATGATTTCAGAGAAGAGTTGCAAGACCTACCAGGTGCAGAGAAAAGCTATCGTATGAAGAGTGACTGAACTTATTTATTTTACAATGGAGGGGACATAATCAAAGTGTCTATATCAATGAATGTATTAAGAAGGAGAACTGGGAGTATCTATTTTCTCTGCTTTATAAACACAAAGAGATAGTTCAGTTAAAGAGGCAAGCTTTTCTCCAAGTAGGGGACCACCTTTACAGATGCTGAGGTTCAGTATTCACTCCAGGATGTGTTCATGTCTGGATTTCTAGTAGTCCAAAGTATGGAGGATGCGTAAAGGATCCATACTGACTTGTTCACTAATGCTAACAGATGCTGACTGATGATACCAGTATTATTAGAAATTCATAAGTCTGTTACAATTTTGCAGCCTTTTATAATGGGCTGTGTACTCACAGTTCAGGACTGGGAGACCCATATTGGCTGGTCTGGCATATTTTGGCCTTGCTAGCTTTGTTTATACGTGCATGTTTTTCCTCCTCAGAATCTTATATTACTTTTTGTTAGCTGTATTTTTGTCTTCATTGAGAAGGCAGTGTATACAGCGGTGTGATGACAACGGTTCTTTGCATTTACATTAAAAACTGCTTTGAACTGATATTTGCATATTTTACAGGACAGCCTTTTGAAAATGAGATAGATAGAAACTGCTCGCCTACCTTCGGTTACTACACTAAGACAGGAGCTTTCTGACACTAAGTAATTGTCGATAAGAATAAACTACAAAGAATAATAAGAGAACGTTCAACTTACCCTTTAAAGATGATTGACAAAAGACTTTTAAAAATGGGCTTGTAGTTTTCACTTTTGGATACATAGAAGGTAATGTTTGGCTTATTTCTGGAGGACTGGGAGGAGGAGAATTGTTTTTACCTTAGAAACCACGTGAATGTCAACTTTTTTTTTTCTGTCTTGCTGGAGGACTTGTTGAAGGTCTCTGATGTTTATTGTGAGCTCTGACATTTTAATTGAAAGGACAAGAGTGTTGATTTTTTTAAACAGATCCTTTGTCCAAATTGTTTATTAGTTATTGGATTAAGTAGGTTTTAACAACAAAAATCATAAATCAGAAAGTTCTAAACAGTCTAACTTAAAATCCTGTATTTTTTTCAGTTGCTCATCTTTAAAAGTTTATATTCTGTGATGTTATAATTACATTAATTCTCCAGCTGTCAAGGGATTTTGAAAACTAATTCTCCATTTCACATGTAAAAATCAAGAATTCCCCAGAGCTTTCTTGGTTAAACTTCCGGATAACATTTAAAGCATGCAAATGGTTGGTTATTTGTCAAAGCAAAAAGTGGAAAATGGCATAGTTCCGCTATAGTAAAAAAATGCAGATTTCATCATTCTAGTTGAAAAAAGAGAAAACCACAGTATTGAATATTTTATTTAAAACTATCTGCCATGGGAAATAGGGAGAAGACTGTCTTGAAGGATAATAGTCCAAAAAGACTAAGCAGTAGTTCTTCTGAAATAAGATAATATATGAAATAGAGCGGTAAAAGATGGCAATAATGAAAGCCAAACAAAAGGAAAGATAATAAACACTGAGAGATAGGAAGCTCTTTGTTTTTCAGAATGCAGACTGCATGCCTCCACTTAGGTTGCCAGATCAGTTCTCTGAAAAAGATATTCACCCTGTATCTAGGAATCAAAAATTATATCTTTAGGAGGCCTATGGGAATAGGAGAAATTGTTCATCTGAAGAAGTTACATCCATTCGCAGAATGTGGATATATTTATTGTTCAGTTTGAATCATGCGAAGGGATCCTGTGCCTTCAGCATTTTGAGTCTTCCTGAACCTTGCCACCGTAATAAAAGCACACTCGTGAATGCTAAATGAGGACTGAATTATCCCCATCCTGTACTAGAACCAAATCGGAAGTGAAATATTCTGTCACATGTGAAAGCTTAAGAGCTAATTAATTTTGACAGCATATTTATAGTTCTCATTTACAGAGATCTCAAAATACTTTAAGAAAACAGAATACTAAAAAAATTATACTAAAATAATGTATATCACTGGGATCTATACTCAAATTAGGGCTCTTCATAACAGTGGAGGAATTCAATATTGAATCATCCATAGAGCGATCGCTTCATTCAATATTGATAATGCTAAAAAGTTTGTGTGAAATATGGGCCTTCTTCAAACCCATGGTTGCCATTGACTTGAATGGGGAGAGGACCTCGTCCTCTGTTGGGCAGAGGGAAGAAGGCAATGACAGTGTGCCACACAAAACTGAGAGGAAGGGACAGCTATCTGGAACAAGAGGGGGAATATCAGACAGAGAGCGAGCTTAGGGAAATCCAAATTTGACCAGGAAGCCGAGCTTAACTTGCTCTCTCTCAGACAAAATGTCTCAGGATCCTTGAGAAGGTGGAAGCACAACTTTGTCTCTTCTGAAAGATAGTTCTGAAAAGTGTTAAGTCAAGCTTTACAAAGGAGCAAATGAACCAAAGCAATACCCAAAACATTTTCTGTGTACGTATCACAGAAATTCCGCAGTACGTGTAAGTCTAACCTTTTTTGTAACTAGGGATGAAAATACACTCTTTATTGCAAGCTTGGAAAAGATTAAAACATTAGAAAACATTAAGAGAACTGCAATTTCAATTTCCAATTTCGCTCTTATCACAAAGCTACTCCATTTTGATCCAGTTCTGTTAGATAGTTTTAAGTCATGTACAGCCTTGGTTCATAAAACACCGTTTTCTAATACTCACAAAAATGAGCTAATTAATCAGAGAGGACTAAGACAATGTCTCTCCTATAAATTGAATTTGTCTGTAATTCAACAAAATGAAGTAAATGTTGTAAAAAGTGAGATAAAATCATCCAATTTGTGGTGGGAATTCTTCTACAAGTTTGTCAGACTGCTATTTTTTTTCCCTTAGGGAAAGTTAGCCCTCACTGTTTTCCCAAGAAGAGGTTTTATCAAAGCACTGTTCAAGGCTGCCGACCAGCATGAGTGTGAAAGGATTAACACTTTGGCCATGGCTATCCAGGAAGAAACAGGAACTCTCAACTGGCAGAATAGGACATCCAAAGTCTTTAGATGTCAGTGATTAGGTAAGGAGTGAAATCCCCTTCAAAATCACCACAGGCTGTTGAACCATGTGTATAATTAGGCTTGTAAAGAGAGCAAATACATTGGAGAGATGTCATTCCCCTGCTCAGGATGAGGTCTTTGTTTAACTTCACAGCCCTCTGAAAACGTATATGTAATTTGTCGTGCTTTTTCCCCCAGTGTGTGGACTTTATTTGGGTATATGGGGTTGAGATCACAATTTGGTCCTTTAGACATCAGGAAATAGCTGACTATTAGAATGGGAGAATAAATGACAGCCTTATTTTCTGTAGTTGAAAAGCGTCAGGCTGCTGGGTAAGTTTCCCTTCTTTGTTGGCTCTCGTGACATCCCCAGGTAATACTGGGGATAACCCCAGTTACTATACACAAAATTAAAGAAAGGAAACATGAATCTTTGCCCACAACTTCTAAGCTTTCTTGAAAGGATAAATTAACATGCAATAATGAAAAGATGAAAACAATCACTCTTGATGGCAGTATATTAATTATAACTTTATGTGGGTGAAGAAGTTAAAATCCCCTCCTGTGTGTGGACTGGGCATCTTTTCTCAACAAGAGAATAAAATGTATCTCTGTAACAGAGTCCTGTGAATACCGGAGCTAGCGGCTCCACGGCTTTCTTAAGGATTTGTGTCCTGTGATTGCACCTCAGTGAAATTTCAGTGCCTGCTGGAAACTCTTGTGGTTGAGCATCCCAAACATGGCTCATTCAGTGGAAAGGCAGCATGCTGCCACTTATTTTCATGAAACCTG